GGTAATTTGTGATTATCGCAGGGGACGTCTGAGATCTTGCAGTGCATTTACACGGGATAAGCACGTCAGTCAGCTGTTGTTTCTGGATGTGGTCAGTTTGATGAGTTGGGTAGATCTATTGGATCTGTTCATGGGAATCTGAAGTCATTTTACAGAAAAAAAAATACAAACTCTAAATAAAGTGAGTAACTGTACATAACCTTAGACATTTTGGTGTATGAAGACACAATGAAATCATTAAACAAATGGATTGTTACAAGTCCTATAAACAAATGATAATTGTTTACCAAGTTTATACAATCTTTCTCTTGTATCTTTATTAGTCGTCTCGAAGGATTTGAAAAATAAATGTTGAATGACGCAGGAAATCTAAATTCTGCCACATTTAAATGAAATAGCTGTGAATTAACCTGTGTTATAACATCATGGCTTGAGTCTTGAATAAACCTGAATCTTTAGCGCTGCATAAAAACATGTTTGCTCATTTGTCGGTGAACCATGGCAACCAGGGAAACCCACACAGTATTTTGAAGTAAAGGCTAATTTTACTCCTACGTGACTGATGTTTATCATTTATTCTGACTTATTCTGAAGGCAGCAGTAAATAAACAAATGTGCCATGAAGTTTAGCTTAGTTTAGTTTATAAATATTATATAAATTAGCTTTCTACATTATGTGAGTGGGATGGGCCAGTATTTAGACTATTCTATAGGGTTGCATGGGTAATTGGTAATGGGAATAAGAGGGCTATACAAGGCCAATCATACTCTTATTGGCATAATTAAATGGGGTGGCATGGTATGTTTTTCAATAATACCTATTTTTCCATTGAAAATGAAATATGAGACCGCATGAGACACCATTGAAACAGATGTTTGTAAATGGTTGTGTATTGTATTAAAGAAAGAGGGCTTAAGTTTAACTTTTGTATTTCAACTTTTTGACTGAACTTGGCTTTAAAACTACTGAATAACATATTGCAAGTTCTCTCCCACAAAGGAAAAAGTAGTAATACAATTGTGACTCAACGAAACTGTTCACTTAAATGAAGGACTTTTATTTTTACTATATGTCCTTTTTTTGACAGTGTCAGCGTATAATTCCATTGCAGATCCTTCAACTAGAGCAGAGTGTGATCTTTGGTATGATCCAAGATGGCTGCCACTGCCCGTCTCTGCCCAAAGGCCTGTTACAATCCATCAAACATCACCAAAATATGGTTTCATCAGATAAGAATCTAGGTATTGAAGTTTGAGCTTTGTATATCTGCTTTTGTGGATATTGTCGACAACAGAGTTTGATTAACAAAAAAAAAGCTACAATTATATTTCATCTCTGTCCGGAGTCCTCTGCCAAACTACTTGCCAGTCAAATTAAAGAGATTAAACAGTCCCTAAACTTCATGTCAAGGTATATCAGTGGCAAAACAACATAAAGAATTGTCTGGCCTCATGGAAGAGATTCGGGCGCAAAATACTGTCATCAAACATAAAGAACAAAGGATTGAGTTCATGGGACAGAGGGTGGATGATTTGGTGCAGACCTTGTGATCACTGGGATTGAGACCAGGCATAAGACCTATGCCAGGGCTGGAGGGCCAACTGGTCACCAACAAATGAACATGCACCTTCGGAGGAGCTGCAAACCCTGGAACAGCAGGTGATTACATTCATGCAAAGCAAATTTATGGAGAGTCAGCACGTCTCAGTCTGTCACACTCTTCCAAACATAGGAAGAAAAAGCCTGCAATCATTGAACCAGAAGCACAAGGTAGCAATTCGAAAGGGAGCAGAGAAACTACAAGGCAGTGGAATTTACATAAATGAGCACTTGACCAAATAAATGCAGAAATTGCTTGGACAAAGCTGAAAAAGCTAAATAAAATTGGAAAAGTTGTTTATTCGACTCAATGGTCCACCTGAACCTGCCAAAGTGACTTAGTCAGGAAACTACAAGACATGGACCAGTACAATTGAACAAATTCAAGAAATGTTTTCCTTTGTGTTGAGAGTAAGGAGAAAGACAATCTATGGATTAAAAACGACACTACAAATGACTGATTCATTGGTGAGTTCATATTTTCCAAAATTTTGATTTTACAGAACATGGCACATACGATTTTGATAAAGATGTGGACCCAAAATCTCATTTGTTTAAGGATTTAAAGGACTCTGGTTTATAATCCAGAAGAACAACTGGGTGAAGTACAAACTGAGGAGACATTATCTTTAATTAATGTTAATTGTAGCAGCTTACTAAAGAACTTCACAAAAGAAATGGTAAAACTTTGGTAAAATGTGGAGATTAAACTGTGCAAGAACTACATCAATACAACAACATTAAAGTGATTGTCTGGAGTTTGTCAGAAAGAGAGACAGAGAGGTACTTGATTTGAAAAAAACGACGCAAGCTCCCTCCCCCTTCCTTTCTGATTGGTCTACACCTACGTTTCCGTAACACTTTGAAATGTTAATCAGAGAACACATTATACATATACATTATTAATACACATGCACGGAGGTTTTCAGAATTATTTGTGAACGTTTTAATGAAAAAAATAATGTTTTTATGCACAAAAAAAGCGATCGCAGCAAACCAGGAAGTGCTATTATCATGAATTGCACATTATAGGACACATCTGCAGAGGATCTGATTATGGATATAGGGTCAGTATATACATACGTACCTCAGCGCGGATGTTCAGAATTCTTTGTTCAGTTTTCATGTTGTTCCAGAGCCTAATAGAGGCTTGATTCGGGGGCTCCGCGAAAAAAAACAACTGAGCATGCGCGCAGCTGCGAGCATCAGCGCCGATGATTGACAGCCCTTGGCATGACTCGATTGGTTAACGTGGACGGCATCGTGGATTCTGAACTATAGCTAAGAGCAGGGAAGGCGGGACTTGCCCGTAATATTAGAATTAATAAAATGACTTATTTTATATCAACATTTAAGGCCAGGAGGTCAATTTAGCACATTTCCTAAAATTTGTAATTCATTTAGAGTTACAGACTATCACTTTAATGTCCAGTGATTTAAGAGTCCCTAAAGTTAATTTGTTCTTGTCCTTGTGGCGCTACAAAGACTACAATAATAAGTTAATTACCATATTGAGGAATTCCAAAAAGGAATTCTACTCCAGAATTACAGTATATGTGAAAGCAAACATAAGATCTGGGCCGCTTGGAACATTCTAAGCAAGGTAATAGGAAAAATAAAGGAAAATCCATGAATCCCAAAATACTTTACAAAAGACAAAACAATCATTGAAAATTAGGAGGAAATTGTAAATGAACTTAACTTATTCTTTGTAAGTATAGGACTTAGTTTAGCTATAACAAAACATTTAATTTATATTCATATGGAATAAGAGGAGCAGACTTGAATTGTTTTACCGGCTATTTAGAAAATATGCAGCAATATACAGAAATTAGAGGCAGAAGATCAACATGCTTCAATATCAATATTTATTTTATTTTATATATAAATATAAAACCTTGGTGTAGTGTTGGATGAGTTTAATATGGAAACCACGTATAATGTATGTGAAAAAATCGAAAAGCGTACTTATTTCAAACAAATCCAAATCCAATCCCATAAGATATTGTTCCCATATTGCGAACGTTTTATTATGTATTGTAAAATAGTGCCCTATTTGACTTACTGTATAGAAGTGTGGGGTAACAATTGTGAAAGCGATATAAAGCCATTATCACCGTGAGTGATTGGATTATTGAATCAATGCAAACTTGATTCAATAATTTGAAAGCAAACGTAAAGTGTTTTTTTTTTGTTTTTTTGAAAATTGTACAGGGGGAAAGGTCAGGGTTGATCATCACCGTGTGTAGGATTATGAAGCGGGACAGAAAAATGTAAGATTTGAATTCTTCTTTTCTGCTCTTTTCCATTTATGTATATGTTTTTTTTTTAATATTGTAACTATTATCATTATGTGAACAATGTATGTAAACAAAGCATTTTTATGAAAAGAACAAATAAACAATTACAAATACATTGTGTTCGGTCTCGTCCAACTGGCAGTGAACAAGATTTTCCAGTGTGGACCCCGCAGCACTTATTCCTGTTGCTGTTTCTCTCTCTAATGACCAGAAAAGTAACCGTGTCCTTTCCACCCTATTTGAACTCTGGGGTTATTGTATGTTTGCATTTTTACTGGGTTTCTAAAATAATGAGAACTCTACTATCTACTGAATAGTTTCTGAGAAACTGGAATTATCCAAGTTCTAGAAAGTATGTGCATAAAAAATACTAATACTACTTGAGAATTTTTTTTAAACAACAATGTTAGGATATATAAACATTGCTCAAGCGTTGCTCACGTAGCTTTTTATCCATTATTTAGAGAATAAAAGAGCTTGGCACGACTGCATACTTACAAAGGCACCAGGATGCAACTGTCACTCCCCGAGATCTAATTTTTAGTCATCTGGACCTAAGTGGGACATATGTCTGGCTCTTATTTTTCCAACCACCCATCTTTACCCAAAAGCTACATGAACAGTGCTTTAACTTGTCAAGGTGGATCCTGGACTTTCTAATAAATGGGACTCTGAGAGTGAGAGTAGACCTGTCTCAAAGTCTGTATATCCTCCGCACTAACATATGTCAGAGCATGTACAGTTGAGTATACAGAAAATAAAGACACACAACAAATAAAGCTGCTCAATAACTTCTATAACATCAGAGACATAGTTTCTATGATTTCCTTTTACCAGAATTTGCAGGCACAGGCAGGTAAACACAACAAAATAGAATCAATCTTTTGTACATTCTAGTTAGTTTGAGTTATACAGTCAAACCAAACAAACATGAGTGGGTTGATCTTTCAAAACTCAGTAGATAGTAATATTGGATGCAGGTTACTACAGTATATGTCGCAGGTACCCCTAAGGAAAACTACTTTACTACTAAAGTACTACTTTGAAATTCTGAATATAAGTCAAGTCATTTATTCATGACATGTTGTTTTGCCCCCCAGAGCCCGCAGACCCCGCTGGTTGACACACACGACGAGGGACCTCTGTTTGATGCACTGGGAGCAGAAGATTCTGTCCAAGCGTTTCTGTCGGAGATCAGTGAGGAGGACGTGGAGGTGCTGAGGCAGAGGGAGGAGGCTCTGCTGCAGATAGAGGTATTCACACAACTCCCATGCAGACACCAGCTGCTGTTGAAGGCCTTTTTATTGTATGTTTTCTCCATAGTAGGTATATAGTCGGTGCTGGTCTGAGTAGTTCTTGTTGCTTGTTGGTTGGTGGTTTTCCACAAGGGATTGCATCTGGAATACAGCTGTTTAGTGTCTCTCTCACTACTGTATTGTGCATCTGTTCTGCGTGGAGGGGGCAGGAGATAGTCCAAAAGGCAACCGTAAATAACTGTATTCTATGCACTAATTACAGTATATATTGTTGCAAATGTGTATGTAAAGCTTTTGTCCTGGATATGGGACTGAGAAGCTGCAGTCTATGCCCTTGCGGAGACCAACTGGGATGTACATATCTTGTTGGAATATAAGCAATATCTGTGGTCTTTGAGAAAATGTCCTCCAAAGAAGTAACAATGCGGTCTGGTTTAAAGCAGACCAGTGTTTTCTTTTAATCAATGGTACTCTAATGGCTTGTGTAGATAAAGGGGTTCCTTTTTTTTTCATCAAATTTATTTTGACTCATACTATATATCTGTCAGGTTTACCGATAAGTCATGAAGTCCCTTATTAGTATTTGACGGGTTTGTTTTCTGCCAAGATTCAAAAATTCTTCTATACCAAAGTGTTTACCCACTATTTTGGCAGTAACTAGAACCCTCTATATAAGATGCACATACATAATACTTTACAACATATGAAGAAATGGCCTTTTGTTATAAATGCCCCTTCGTCTGTGCAACTGCCTACAATTACACCTTTTCACAGACACAGGCACACAGAACCACTATGTGTCTTCACAAATTGCATGTGGGCTCATAAAGTTTGAGGTGCCCAGAGCGGAACACTTTTCTTGGCCAAGTCTGACGGTTGTAAGCTTAAGCATGCCAAACAAAACGCACAATTTATTACAGAGAAACAGGGGAGTGTCTTTATGGACCACCATCTGTAGTCATTTGGAAAACATTATAATGCTATGTATCTTGCATCCTGTCAATAACTTTAGCAACTTTATAAGATCTTCACGGTGCACTTGACTTTTCTGTGACAAAATGGCGACTACATTTTGGGCAGTTGCTCGGTCCACTCTCGTGAGACTGGGACTGCACCTCTTCATCGGGACAATGGAGTCCTCTTGCTCTCACAGCTGTCGGCACAATCACCGAGCACAAAGGACCGCTCTCCGTCTGCACCTCTGTTTCCCTTTTTTTGCCTCTCTTCCTCCTGCTCTGTCTCTTTACGGAACCCAATGAGCAGCTCCAGTGAAGCGGGCCGGATTAGCACATGTTCTTAAAAGGCTGCAAATTATGAATTATTCAGACTTTGTCATCATGTTAGACACCTTTGCTTGGTATTCTTCCATTTTTAAACTCAACATGTTAAATAGTAATCAATAGAACTAATTCAGGTGATCTTTGCTTTTGGGGTGACACTATTAAAGGCAATTTTGGATAATTTTTTCAAAGCAAACTTACCCATAGTCTGTTTTACCAATATTTGTTTGCATTTTCCAGGTATTCTAAATTTAAATTTGCAATGGAGGACTTGCAAAATAAAAAAAATAAAAACATTGTTTGAGGTAGAATATGTTTAGTGCCTTGTTGTCTTCTATAATTATATCCCCTTCTCTTTTAAACACTCATGAGCTTGTATTGGGAATCTTACTGAGTGTTCTTTGCATGTTCTCCCTGTGCATAGGTTTTCTTCCATTAAAACTTGTGAAATCATGGGATTACAGATGAATATGCTGTTCAAACAAATCAATGAATAGAAATTAGATTAATTATTATTCAGCAGCAAGGTTTTTGACATTAATGGTTCCCTCATTTGGTGATTGTGAATGATTGGTGATTGTTAGTTAATAGTTTTGCGAAAAACAAGCCTGGCAGTCGGGGGGCTCAGACTACTTCCAGCCTCCCATGCATGTATTATGATGCCTCCTCATGATTGCAGGTACAGTCATGTCTTGAATTTGGGGCCAACGCAGAAGCATGGAGATTCGCAGTGACACTTTACAGGCACACGTCTGGCAGGCACGTTCTGTACGTGTTCATGTCCTAGTTATTTTTATATCTGCCATAAAAGGAAATTAAACAGAGATACATCTAGCAAATTATATGGGTAAATTTTATCCCTACATAAACGTTGGGCCATTCTTGATATTTCCCTAATTTACAGAACGTTTTTTTTTTCTTGTATCACTTTTAAGTCATAGCCTTTAGAAATGAAGACATCAATATTGAGCGTTTTGGGAAAAAACAAAAGTCAGCCACTGTTTTTCACATCAAAGTTGCAGAATGCCCCTTTAAAGTCAGATCTGTCTTATTTGTAGCAAGACCGAGGAAGGAAAGGTTTGGGAGACATAAAGGCCTGTAGTTCTTGAACAGTGAAAGAAAGAATTCATTCATTATTCCATTTTAAAATTTGTAATCTTTCCATTAGAGCTTTACTAATGGAAATCAGTCCTCTCCCTGAGCTGGTCTCATGTTTGGAGAGGAGCCTGCAGGAAAAGGAACGATGACATCACAGACACTTAGATATAATAGCAGAGGGTGTAGTAATGGAGCAGACGCTTTTGTAATTATAATGTGGGCAATGTCTGATGATAGCTCACTCCTTTTAGTGTAAAAAATCCTCCAAAATATTCAGCTCAGTTGTTGATGGAAAAGGGAATGAAAAGAGAGGCCTTCCACAAACACACAAAGGTCTTGTTTGTGTTGATTATTTCATTTATGAGCCACAAAGGGGTCGAATGGATGTTTTACCATTGCAAGTAATGCCTCCTGTGTGATTTAATATACAATTTAAGTCTTCACTATGTAATATCTGCAATATGCTTCAACTGATACAAAATAGGGGCGACAGTAGCTCAGTTGGTAGAGCACTGGTCTTTGGACCTAATGGCCGTGGGTTCGATCCCACCATGACCCATGTCCACTGCTCCCACTGATGTCTGCTGCCGTTGTGTCCCTGGGCAAGACACTTAACCCCAATGTGCCTGAAGTCCCTGCTGAAAGACCAAGGCTGCATGTGTGTCGAAGGAGCAGCCATCTTCCTGCGGACCCACCACCTGCAGGAAGATCAGCAAGGGACTGGTGCTGTGTGAATTGGGTGGCAGTTCTGATTGCTGACCCAGAAATGGAAAATAAAGGGATGTAAATGAAATGAAATGAAATGATACAAAACTTATGCCATTGTTGAAAGTTCCTCAAAATGTGGTGTAAAAATCCCCATTCATTTTCCCTAATTAAATGTTAGAATACGAACTGAAAGAAAAGAAAACCTGTTAACAATCATCAGAGACATTGTAGCATATTAACCGGCCGCTCCCTGCGCACCACCTCAGTTTAGATTCGCACACACGCACGATTCATGTTTTAGCCTTTTGTTGTGTGTGCTCTCTTGTGGAGCCAACAAAATCCAAACTAGTAACCTTGTGATTAGGAGCTTGTTTACACATATCCTCCACGGGCCCCGTTTTCCTAAGCTGCGGCACCTCGAGTCGCATATGAAATGAGACGAGTGAGCGAGTGGAGTGAATGGGGTAGAAAATAAATTAGCAGGGCCGCAGTATAATATTCATTGACAGATTGAACTGAATTTGCATAAAAAACACTGCATTTGCGGAAACAGGAGAGTCAGAAGATTGCTAGTTTTACTTGAGAAAATATAATTCTGAGGTAAACATATAATGACCATGAACCTTTAAAATGACTCGTACATGACATGTTTTGCATGTTTCTAATTAAAAACAAAAGAGAACAGTTAAGTTGGCAAACTTTTAGCTAAGTTAAATTGGTGTTCTCTTTTTATGTTCTTTCCTAATGTTTGTATAATCCTGTGTTAGAGGTTCAATGCTCGGACTTTTTTGTTTCATGCCCATCTATCTCCATTGACATTCAAATGAAACACCATTTAGGTTAAAAAAAATAAAATAAAAAAACATCTCTAAAACACTATTATGGACTTTGCATTTCTATATACATCAGTAAATGTACAATAATAATATGAAAATAATTATGTATTTATATATATTTGTTGTCTATTTTGAGTAAAACAAACAAAAACAAACTTATGAACACTTATGAAATTTGCTATCTATATACATCAGTAAATTTATAAGAGTATATTTACAATCAGGTATTTATATATATTTTTTTCTCTTTTGATTTTTCTGACCAGCGATCTTGTTTGACCTCCTGCTTCAGTATATATTCCCACTTCATATTTTCTGAAGACGGTTGCTTTAGTGTAGCAGCTCTCCTCCTTCTCTGACAGTAGCACATGCAAAGTCTTCTCCCACACTCAAAAAGCTCATTAGTATTTCTCCACAGTGTTCCGCGTTCTGCTGCAGGATATTGAATGCTGCCCAATTACTAAGAAGCTTATATAAAGTTGTTTGTTCCTATACCTGGGCGACTCAGGAGCAGAATCTTAAAAGGTTTCTGCTTTTAACTTTTCAAGCAAGTCAGTTTGGAGAAATTACCCGCAATCGGTATTTTGTGCGTTTTACAAAAATTGCCCGCTTTATGCGATTTCTACCGATCAATATTGAATGGCTGCAAGGAAATTACATGGGAGTCCAAATGGATTTTCTGTCATTTTCATTTGTATTGGGGACAAGCGTGTCACTACATTTTCACGTTTTATTATCAGGTCAATAGTTTTAAAGGTTGGGGCTGTTTTTATAAATGTAATGTTGTGTATCGACCTATCTGTGAATTATATTATTTATTTTTAGTTCTTTAAGTTTATATTGGACCAAACCTCACACATGTTGCAAAAGCTGTACAGTTGTTAAAGATTTTTTTTTTTTTCCCATCACGTTTTTTTTCCTGCTATATAGTGATAATCTGTGACACCCCATTTTTATATATTTGATTCATTTGAAACCCCAAATATTGAGGTAAATGTTATGTTATGATAGAATCAAACCTTCATACGTCCATGTTTTGAAATCCTGCCATGTTACAGCGGAAAAGTGATGATCT